CAAGAAATTACTGGGATGCCCCTGATTAGTGATGGGACACCCAGATGACTTAAATCATTAAACAGGATTAGGCCCATTAACACAAGCCCAGTTACAAGATAAGTTAAACATAAGAATGGGCTAATAAGAACTCTTATCAGCCGAACATCCCTCTAACATTCTAACATATAGTTCCTCATCTTCAAAAAAAAAACATGTCTTGTATTAAGATGAATGAACAGCATTAGCAAAAAAGGGGATTCTTGGAGCAAGGGGCTTGGTCGGGGGTCTGAAGGTGGATGCCCTGGTCTAGCCACCATGCTTAAAAATATGCAAAACTTAACTGAGGTGCAAGGCATACCAGGTGTACAGCTTTTAAGAGTCTGTGCTTGAGCCTAGCTGAGGCACAGGCCTTAAAATGCACCTCACCTATGTGTGTAGGTGCATCTTTTAAATCACTGAGCTAACATAAATAAAATCCTGACATCTCTAACCAGAATATAGTTAAAATGAACAAAAGGTAGATGCCTTTTAAAAGGGCTGCATTTGGACCTACCGCCTAGGCAAGACACAGACCTTGAAATTTGGCTTGCCTATGTGCATAGGCACACCTTTTAAATTACTAATTTACCGCAAATAGAATTCTAAAATCTCCAACCAGAATACAGTTAAAAATGAACAAGAAAGAAGCAGCAGTGATATTAGACTCAACCTGATTTTGCCATCATAGCAGCCAAGCCAACTGTCTTTAAGCAAATCGTTTTCCCCCCTGTATTGGGGCCAGTAATAACCAGAACTCTTGTTTTCTTAGTAACAAAAAAATCAACTGCAACAGGATGAGCTTCTTCCAATTTAGCAACCTGAAGTAATATGAACAAAAATATCCCTGAGAAACACAAAGCTGTTGGAATCTTTAGAATGCACAAGCTTCCTTTAAAAATATCTATACAGAGAAGCCAATAGAGTAAGTCCATCTTTGACTGCACCTTCATTTGTAAGGACACAAGATGTACATCAGGTTTTCTAGATGCCATATTCTCTCCTTGAAACTTTCTCCTCCTGAGTTCCTGAAGTGATAACGGTTTAGCTAATACAACAAAGGAGGAAGAACAATTATTTGAGCTTGGATAAATAAAACTAGTAATAATCATAATCCTATACACAAACCGTGTACACTTTTAATGCAACAAAAGATCCTCCAAACAGCAAACTAATAGTAGAAAGAGCACTTACCAGAAACCATATGGAGAATATTGATTAAAACAACAAAGAATAATCAAAAGGCTACGGAGGAAAGTGAAGAAAACTCAATCTTTATTCAAATTCTACTACCCCAAAATTGTGTATACAAGGCTTCTGCCCCTTTTATAGCCTAAAATACAAAGAAACCAATTTAGACTGGAACTAGGAATTCTTAGTGTTTTGAGATTATAATTATAAAATAGACATTATTAAACTAAATATTCATTTTGTGTTTATATACTAATTTTTTTTCATTATTTTCTTGTTTGTTTGGGTTTAGTCAACGCAAACATTGCTAAATACCGTATTTAACCCTCAAAGAACTTAAAAATCGTGTCTAATCAACTCATTATCTTCTTCCACATATTTTTCTTTTCTTTTTTCCCTATAATAAAATAGGGGTTCAGCCCCCATATTTTTTTGGATTTTCTTTTCTTTCCTCCTTTTCTTAAGAATATGTTGATTTTCTATACTTGACATGAAATTTCTACTTTTCTTATAAAAATTATGGATAATTATAAAGGAAATATGGTTATGGAACCTTGGGAACTACCCTAGGATATATGCTTTTTACTTAAAAAAAATACATCGCCTAGGTGACTAGGCAACAAGGTGCCCCCCTGTCATCTAGCCTCGCCTTGGCGCCTTGAAAACTATGGATGGGATGAAGCTTCATTGTATTAAGCACAAAAAATTCTGTAATAGATGGAAAATAAAGTACAAAGAAGAAAGGGTTGGCCAGAACTCTCCATGGACAAAAGTAGAAGGGCATACAAGCAACATTTTTATAAGTTTCCAGAGGTCAGAATAAATATTACTGTTTACAATGACAAAAATGAAATCAAGAAAAACTTACAGCAATAGCTTCATTGACATCCTTTCTGGCCTTCTGCAAATTTTGTTTATACTGCTTAAGTAATAAAGGATGATAAGCTTTAGGCAAATATAATGTCCATTCCTGCTTAGTGGAGTATGATGATGTAGCCTCAAAACTCTTATTCTGTGGGTAACATTCCTCAGAAGTGAAAGATCCACCCTGATCCTCTGTGAAAAGTAAATCAGGGCATGTGCCTCCAAATGAAAGACTATATTTTGCTCGAGCATTGACCTACATCTCAAAGACATTATACTACATAACTATATCACCAACTAAAATAGTGAAATATCAAACAACATTTAAGATGGTGACCAAACAACAGAATTTCATGCACTAAGATGATTATAACTTTGGAACTTGGAGTTCCCTTTATGATCAAAGGGAAGCAGATTTTACAAGAATCTTTAAAAAGCCCTCAGTAAGTAGAAATGGAAGAATTTCTACCAAGCATCAGGAGCTACATCAAGAACATTTCAATCCTGTAGTATCATAGAGACTTCAGCCTCGTCAATAACACTAATCAGATGTCTGACATCTGAAAATTTTGCTTTTCAGAAGACAGATGCTTTGGATTTAGGTCTGATTAGAAGATCTAAACCACTAATTCAGATCTGAAGTGGTAAGAGCTCGCCTAGTAACTTAACGCGCTCAGACAAATTTAAGATGTTGCCTATTGTTTTAAATGCCCCTAAATACTTCAAAAAAGACCAATATTAGCTCTTAATGTACCCATTTCGAACCCTAGCATCGACACCTATCTCAACAGGGAAATGGCTCCTCTTGTTTCTGCTTGATTGGGTTCTTACGCCGATACAACTCCAATGTTGTATCAGCATTCATCATGCATTGCTATTCTTCTCCGTCTCCAAAAGAGAAAAGTGAAGATAAAGCCATCACCAACTTAGTCTTCACAGACTTGGATGATCAAAGCTCCATGGTGACGATGGATGTCAATGATGCCAACCCAAATAATATGTTGTCAACGCCAACAACAAAATTGTGGATGTCAAATTCTTCAACTATGTGGAGGATGATTTGGACAACACAGCAGAAAGTGCAAAAACAGCAATCTGAAATAAAACCTGTGATAGAAAAGAAAGAAAAAAGAATTTATCAAAAAAAAAGAAAGAGAACAGAAGATTTTAGAGAGGAGAAGAATGGGAGAAAGCCAAAATAAGCTCTGGCCGCCCCTTTCATTATACTATATACTCATAAAAAAATCTAAATACAATGACCAGGATACCATTAGTAAGTCGGCTACTAATAAAGAACATGAGAAAACATTGCCCAATAACTCTAACATAACTTTATAAACAAAACAAGTGTTATCAGCCCAATCTCAACAGTCCTCCTCAAGTTGGGAATAGATGTCACACATTCCCAACTTGTGTAGATCATACCAAGCTTGTTTCTTGCAACACCTTTTATGAGAACATCAGCTAGTTGTAAGTCAGATGCAACATATGGTAGGCACACTTCTCCAGATATCGCCCTTATCTTTATAAAATGTCTATCTACTTCTATGTGCTTCATCCTATCATGCGGAATTGGGTTATAGGCAATGTTAATTGCTGCTTGACTATCACAATATAGCATCATAGGTTCTTCCACCTCAATTCCAATCTCCCCTAGCATGGACCAGTAGAGGAGCTCAGAAACACCATGTGTCATAGCTCTATATTCAGATTCTACACTTGACCTTGCTACAACTGATTGTTTCTTACTCTTCCATGAAACCAGATTACCTCCAACGAGAGTGCAAACTCCTGACGTAGATCTCTTGTCATCTAGGCACCTTGCCCAATCAACATCTATGTAAGCTTCTAACTTCAAGTGTCCATGATCAGCAAACATTATGCTTCTACCTAGGTGTCCCTTCAAATAGGCAAGTATCCTATCAATAGCCTCCTAGTGTTGAACTCGTAGGGCATGCATGTATTGACTTACCACACTAAAAGCGTAAGAGATATCTAGTCGTGTCATGCATAAGAATAGCAATATGCCCACCAATCTCTGATCCTTCAAACATCCTTCAATAGCTTACCATTTGAAGCATTCATCCTATAGTTATGATCAATAGGTGTATCAGCTGGCCCTGCCCCAAGTTTTACTATCTCCTACAATAGGTCCAAAACATACTTTCTCTATGAAATGAAGATTCCTTGCTTGGACCTTGCCACCTTAATGCCTAGAAAATACTTCAGCTCCCCAAGGTCCTTAATCTCAAACTCCTAGTGTAGGTTCCTCTTCAAGGTATCAATCTCACTCAAGTCATTTCCTAAGACTACAATTGAAGGAAGGGTTAGGATTCATCATATGGATGGCTGAACCATGCCAGATGGTTGGGCGAAATTTCAAAAATTTCCTAATCCTTCTGGGAATCGAATTCCCTGTGTTTTGAAAAACTACAGTTTTCAAGATCGACCTTGCACTGAACCGGACCAGATTTGAAACCAATCAAAGAGGGAGATGTATACCTGATACGGATACCACAAATGCAGATCTCAAGGTAGAAGTTCACGCCCAAATCAATCTTAAAACCGACCTCCACTGAAGATGGCACAGTGAACTCCTGAAGCCGATTCAGCAACGCAGTTTTCAACAAAACTGCAATCCAACTGCTTAGTTCGAACTGGGGAGTTGAGAACGAAATTCCTTTGGATTTTTCTTGCAAAAATCAAAGAAAAAACTTACCTATATCAGTCCCAAATAGCTGAGGTCAAATTGGAAAAAACTGGGAGACGAAAGGGTGTAGAGAGGACCAAAAACTGCAAAATATGAAGTTGTCTTGGACTGATCCGCCCCCTCCTCTTTTATAATTTATTATGGAGCTATCTCCTAATCTAATAAGGAGATAATCCAGATCTAAACCAGATTTGGACTCTAATTAGAGATATACCTTATCTTCTTATAAGATTAGGTGCTCCATACCCAGATTCGCCCCATGTCACATGGCAACTTAAGTTGTCATGTGACAGCTTAATTAATCATATTAATTATGGGCTTTAGGCCCATCAGCTATAAGGCTCACGACCCAAGGGTGTTGCATGGCCATCTTAGGCCTAATTTGTATGGCGTGGGAGCCCACAATGACCTCACATAAGTCCACATGAGTTTGGCCTAGCCTCTAAGAAAAGGTTTGGTCAAATTCACTATTAAACGCAATGAACCACTGAGCACATCACTATGGGCTCAATATGGGCCCAACACTTACACTTAAATGATCATTGAATTCAGCCATCCTATGAAGACCCAAGGATAATGGACTTAAGTAAGATAAAACCTATAAGGTAATCAGCCCTTAATGGTCTCTTACACTTAACCTCTCAGCCCATAATGATCAAACACTACCCGACAGGGAAGGACCAAGGACCTCTCCCCTGGCTATAAGGTGCAATGTCACACTCTCTGCTCAGATGGACCCCGGGAATTAAAACCTTTTGCAAAGATTTTTTAATAAAGCATAATATATATATAATAAATATATTTTGCAAAACCAAATCTCAAACACAATTGAAATCACTACAAGCAGTTTAGGTTTCCATTAGAGAGAGTGTAAACCCTATCATTCACTTTGTTCGACAAAGGAGCCGATCCTATCACTATGATCACCCACTTAAGTGAATTCTCAAACTATCCCAATATACCAAGGTTTTGACCCTCAATGGATCTCACTGATTGGCATATCAAAGATAGCCCAATCCAACACCTAGTGCAGTACCATAATCAAGTCTAGGGGTTATGTGTAACTTTCCAATTTTTCCCATCAATCTCCAAGGTCTAGGGCATAATTGGAAAATGGTCCAAGTCCAGTGTTTCAACCAAATGCGCATTGCGTGTGCTTTGGGTCTAACCCTAGTAGCTGAGACAAGCTGTCCCAACTTCTTTGGTAGCACATCAGTGTCAACCTTGGCAGGATAAACCCCCCAGTCTATCCAACAGCTAAGAACATTCTAAACTAACACGAGTCTCATAAATGTCCTGCTTAAGGGGCAATTTCATAGAAACATACCAATATCAATATGAAACAACAATGCACTCTTGTTCATTTACAATAAATGTATCTATACATCTATCTGATTGGAGCTAAGGGCATACACTATCTAACAACAATATCATCCACATCCATATAAACATCGACACCAATGATCCCCTACTCTTCACAAACAGAGTATGATCAGATTGGGTTTAAGTATAGTCAAATATAATCAATCCACTCCTAAACCTATCAAACCAAACTCTAGGTGATTGCTTCAAACCAAATAAAGACTTCTTTAATCTACATACCTTTCCTTTGACCATATCACTGTAAAAACTAGTTGGAAGGTCCATGTACACTTCCTACAAATCTCCGTTAAGAAAAGCATTCTTCACATCAAGTTGGAAGGGGGGCCAAGAGTAGATAGCTGATAGAGATAGAGGATCCAAACTGAACTCATCTTGACTACTGGTGCAAAGGTCTCCAAGTAGTCTATCCCATAAAACTGAGTGTACCCTTTTGCAACCAACCTCGCCTTATACCTTTCTATTCTTCCATCAGCCCTGTACTTCATTGTATAAATCCATCTACATCCAATTGTCTCCTTGCCATTGGGTAAGTCCACAACCTCTCATGTATGATTTTTAATCATTGCTTCCATTTCCTCTTGCATAGTTATCTTCCATTCAAGTTTGGGGAGAGCCCCACTAACACTCTTGGGTATAGACATAGAGTCAAGGGAGGAAACGAAGGCCTAGTAGGAGTGCGATAACCAACTGTAGGAAAGGCGATGTGAGATGCAATGAGTTGTACACTTCCTCTTCCCTTTCCGAAGTGTAGTAGGAGGTCTAGGTCATGTGCAATGGTGTTAGGAACAGGGGTGGTAGCATCAACAGGAACTAAACCATTAGAGGGAGCAAGTGGCATACCTAGGTCTATTTCAATTGAACCTAGAATCTCTGATGAGCCATTAGGGAGTGGTGTGGGTTCCTATGTTATGGGATCAACCTCCTTGTGTTAGTGTAGATGTTGTCATGTAAAAAATTGAGAGGTAGGACATAGTGGAGACAAAAAAGTGGGGAAAGCAGGTGGGTCAGACACTGGAGTGGGCAAAGGAGCAAGAATAAGAAGTGGTGCAGATTGCTCACTTCCTTCACCAAAACATTCCCCCTGAGAAGAACTCCCCGAGAAAAGGGGTGTGGACTCAAAGAAAGTGACACCCAAAGTGACATACTAACTCCTTGAAATCGGA